AAAATTTCTCGAAATATTTTGTTTTCGAACGACACTGTTTCTTCATGTTCAGTGCATGTTTACTTTAACCTACACACATATCCTAAATGTAGGCCCTTTATCAGGGCAATCCCAGTTGGGAAGATAGAAAATTTGAAGGGTTTTGTCACCCAACCCTTCGGGGAGCATACCTTACGGCCTCTGGAAATGAGCGCTTCCGTGAATCAGATGTAATTTTACGGGCTAACCCCCCCCCCCCCCGAGCCACATTGCACCGGGGTTGTAATATTGCTACAGAGAGACAACACGCACGAGAAAGAAATCATGCAGCCAGTCGCGGTACACGGTCTCTCCGCACTAATTTGAAAAGTGGCGTCAAATAAAATGTTAACTAGCCGTAGGTGAACATGCTGCGTGCTTTTCTCGCTTCGAAACTCGCAAAGTGATCCCGCGCTTGCGAGCTTTCCTGTCCAGAAATGCGCGAAGGTTCAAAGGGTTGAAAATTCTGTGAGTACGGTCGTTTTATGCTGATCCGACCTTTTGCAGTAGCCCAGAACTTTTTCAAGGGCGCAACAGAAGTCCCGAGACCCTTCCATAGTCACTCGTCCGTCCGTGGCTATCGTACGGCAATAGATACCTGTTTACAAAGTAGTCTTACTGAACAAAGCCTTCTCACTCTGGGTTTTCGGAGTTTTTTTTTCGTGTCGGTCGTCCGAAAAGTTCAGTCAGATTGGAAGATCGATACGTATCTAGTGCTTTGCGGTCGGCGATCCGACCGGCTATCAAAGCACTCTAAGGCCGCGTTCATAGTTCGCGACTCCGGAGATTAGGATAGTACGCGACAATGAAAAACATATGTATTGACGGGGAGATTAGGATAGTAGTAGAGAGATTGCGCTGACAAGATTAGATACGTATCGATTGAAATCGCTGGAGAGTAGTAGATTGCGATATTACGATAGTAGGATAGTAGTAGAGTAGGAGATTAGGATAGTAGTAGATTAGGATAGTATTGATCTATTCGCTTGAAGTCGCCCAATCTACTACTCTCCAGCGATTTCAATCGATACGTATCCAATCTTGTCAGCGCAATCTCCTACTCTACTACTATCCTAATATCCTGTCGCCTACTATCCTAATCTCCCGAGTCGCGAACTATGAACGCGGCCTAAAGAGTAATTTGTAGAAACTAATTCGTGTTTCTAGGGATTCTTCCGAAGGAGTCAATCATCAGTCACGAATTATCAGTGTCCGAGGCAGAAGAACTGTACAGTGGATAGGTGGTTATTAGTTTGCCTGCTTTTTCGCATATCGCAATACTCTTTCCTCAACACAACATGTTCCATTCAAGGGTTAACCGTAATCGCTGTCAATACTGTCGGCTGAAGAAGTGTATGGAGCTTGGCATGAGTCGTGACGCCGTGAAATTCGGACGGATGAGCAAAAAGCAGCGAGAGAAGGTGGAGGATGAGGTTTGCATGTTTCCGGCCCTTTGTTTGTGAAGCGTCTTTGGTAGATCCGTCATGTTTCGTGAACAAATCCGTTATGAATCGATATGAACGTATTGCATCTTGAACGTGGCAGCTTTTTTTCTGGCATGAATCTGGATTTCATATGTACTGTATTTAAAGTGGAGCCATTTTTGCATGAACATTTTTTGTAATTCGTCTGAAGTAAATGTCAGCTGGCAATAATGCCGCTACTCAGCAGTGGGTTTCAACGGTTTTAAGATCGGCTTTGATCTAGCAATCATGCTGCATCGCGACTGCACGCGTCTTTTAAGACGTTTTCTCGACTCCTAGAATACTTTCCGCCGTTCCCATGTTGCCTGTAGCCTATCCGTTTGTTCTCGGAAACAGTAGCTCTTCAGCTTTCAATTATTCCGCTCAAACTTTTTAAACTGACGTTTTTAGGTTCGATTACATAAACAAATGCAAGAAGCCACAGGTGTACCGTATATGTATGGCGAGTACTCGCCACCATCGCAACAGTCCAGCTATGTGGCTCCTGGGTAAGTACCGTGAACCGTGCAATTTTCTGTATGTACAGCTGTTCTGTAGGAATCGAGCAAGTGCGGTAGCAGCCCATGCATGCATTGATACAAAAATATGTAACCCTGAAGTTTATAGATAAGAGCGGAATAGTAATTTCCGCAAAAGAGAGAACGAAACGGAAAATGAACCTGCCTTTTCGTAATGAAATATTTCCTCTTAACTTCCTACTTTTTTCCTGGGACGTTCTTCTTTGCGGTCATAGTACCCTATCTTTATCGCGGAGTAGCATTAAACCGTAACACATACAGCTTTCATTCACTGAGCGCTCTTATCTGTAAGATTTTAGGCTCTATTATGTCTTGCGCGCTCGCTCGACTGTGTGATTCCCCTATTTAGTGTAGAGGAGTTTAGACTACTGAGAGTATCCACTGATTTGTTCGGCGTGCCGAGCGCAACTTTTAAAGGAAAGAGTTGGACTCACTCTGTCACTCTGTCACTCCCCTCGTTTTTTAAACAGCAATGTGCTGCTTTAGAAAATCAAAAGTTTGTTTTCACTCCAGCAAAGTGTAAGACCTGTTAGATGATAGTGACCAGTCCATATGTATTCAACTCGTCAGTGGTTCTGCGGTGATTACAATTGTGTCATTTGTCCCAGCGCCGATTACCAGTCCGGAATTGGTCAGTGGTAGTTCGCTCGCTTCGGTGGCCCTTTGCGTCAGTACAATTATAGCTGTCACTCTGAATAAATCGAAACTGCTGCCATCATTGAAATACTACTCCAGAGTTTTGATATTTTAGTTACGAGACTGGCCTCTATCCTCACTATGCTCAAGGTGCGTATGCTCATGCTGTGGCCGCCGCTCCCATCAGTTATCCGTCGCATTCCTATGGCGTCGCACAACAAGGTTATTGTTGTTGAAAACCTTTGAACACGCCGACAATGGACATCACACCTCATTTTCTCACTTAAGGCACGGTTCCCGCTAGCAATGGCGGCTTTCCTTCACCGCAGCTCTCATCGGCAGCAGAAGAGGACACAGCAGCAAAGATAGTTGCAGCATTTGAGACCACACATACTCAGATGCGAAATATGAATCCGAATCCGACGATTGTTGACGTGAACAGATTTGCCTCAATAGTTAGTTATCTACATCTACTTGAATGAGGTCGGACTCGATAGTTTCGAAAAGAATTCCGATATTGTTACAGGACTTCCAAAATCGAATCGGCATATGGCGGCAATTTGCTGTTGATTTGACCACCGTCATACAAGCGATCATCGAGTTTGCGAAAATGATCGATGGTTTTCATGCGACTCGGACAGGAAGAGCAGATCCATCTTTTAAAAGGTGAGCATACCACCTGTACCTTGAAATATGCAAGAGCGCATACTCTAGTCAGCTGGCATAATCACAACGATGGCAAGGTGTATAGACAGTTTTGTTGTACACCCTATACCATTGTGCTATCAGGATTTGAATGATACTTATGCTCTCAAAGTTGATTGTTCAGGAGGTGTTTTTGAACTTGCAATTGTCGAGTTGTCCTCTCGCTACTCGCCGGAAACTCAAACTCTATCCATGGACAACATAGTCCTTCCACTACACAATCTCAATATTACAGACCAAATCGAGGTTTGCGCCAATTTATTATATCGTCTTTGCCTTACATATCTTGAAAATTTATCCTAAGAAGGCTTTTTCGAGTTTGAAGTATATAGAATATTAATCTTTTTTTTTCAAAATGGAACGAGCACATTTGAATAATGAACATATTCGCTCCTTGAGCAGAGTCTGCCAAAATATCACACTCTAGTCTTGACTTGTAGTGCCTTTTGAAAAGTTAGTAAAATAGAGTTATCAAATCCTGTCATCTTGTTTATCCCTCTTCTTTTCTAGGTGCGTTTCGTGCAAGAGTTCCATCAATGCTTGCATGATCTGGCGGTCTGTCAAATGACATCCTCGGAAGTAGCTCTGCTTTGCGCAGTATTACTGCTTGAACCGGCGTCCACTGAGCAAGCAACATGTGAACGACTTCGAGGCGTTCTTGCGCAATCGTTGGCCGCTCGAGTCGGCAGTGATGCCCAAAGGGTTTGGGATACTCTACCAAGGTTGAAGCAAACCGCTCATCTCCACCTGATTCTGCTCGGGCAACTACGAGCACAATTCCCGGTCGAAACCGAGGCCGGATTACCGGCTCTCTATAAAGAGTTGTTCTCTATTGATCCTTAACTAACATTTTTTCATACTATCCAACTGAATACCAGTGAGTCAAGCTTTTTACAGTTCTAACGGTCTTATTCTCATTATTGCATTTTGACACACACAGTGATGGAGAGTGAATACAGAAGGACATAGCTAGGGATGTTATTTTCACTCGAAAAATCAACCTTTTTTCTGATTCGCTCGTCACGCCGTGTAGCATGCGTTTATAGTCTATCATGATCATTCAGACGTGTCTTCTAACATTCCAGTAGTTAGTCCATATCTTCCTGCCAGTTGTGTGAGCGGGGAGTACGTCGCGTGCGGTCGCGTCACGAACCATCTGCTGCTTCGCTGCGCGACTGCATGCGTCGGCGCAACTAAATTGGACGATGTGGGCTACACGTGCGCTGCTAATCACTAACACTGCCCGTACGTCTTCTAATAGAGCGTGAACACGCCCGCTGTTGTTTGATGGCTTTTTATTATGGATCGATAATGGTAATAGGAAAAGCATATTTATCCGTTCATTCGCGTCCTTCTACGATATCGATATGTGTTGGCGTTTTGAGCCATCCACACGGGTTATATATGCTATTTGTGTGTTGTTATGAGTGTTTCCTGTTAGCCGCATGCCTTATTCTATTTATAATCGGGAATCTGAATGAATATCCCCGAAACAAGTCTCAATCAAGTGCTTTATTATCGTGCTGCAAATGTCTGTTTGTATCCTCTCTCTCACTTGCCTTGACCAAATCAACTCACATTCCTCGACTTAGGCATTTATCAATATTTATCCATATCGCGTTTTGTTCCCTGTATATTGTATACCAGATATTTCTAATAAGTTTCTAATTGTTTATGTATGTACAAATTGATTGAATTCGCGCGCACGGTTCCCACTCTGTTCGATGTTCATTCTTTCCTTATGTGTTTGAATTATGCGTGAAATGACAAGGTGAGTGGTCAGAAACCCGCAGGGAGAAGGTCTGTTTGCTTAATTTCTTCCAAAGGGATGCTGTGATTCGTATGGGGTCTAATCGCGGTCGTAATCATCAATGAGATGAGCGACCTGTGCGGATTTTATTGACGATCTACAGTGTCCTCAAAAACAGATTTGAGTCACTTTACGCATAATTCTCACATACTGCCGTATCCTGCCTTAGTTCCGAGGTACCACTGACACTGCAATATTTGACTGTGACTTTGTATGTTTTTCAGTATGAATATGAATTTTTTGATGTCTATCAATTACTCGTTGGTCAATTTCCAGCACAAAACATTACCATAGCGTGCTATTTTCGAGGAGAAGTGGGCAGAAATTGTAAGCTGTCCTACTGTCGACTGTAGAGATCTTCTACGAATCTTTCGTCGTATTCCGTGGCATTTAGCCAGGTAACGAGAGACGCAGTAAATGGTTGCTCTGCTTCTCAGTTGCTCGCAACAGCTCTTACCCACAAACAAATTATGAAGGTTATTTGACGCTCTCACGCAACTGGTATGACCCTCAATGCTGGCGAAGTGTTGTGCTGTGCGCACAGGCGTGTGTGTGGATTTACGGGTGCGGTAAGGTACGATGCGAAGAGCTATTGAATGGTCGCGGCGGCCCGGCGGCCGTTGGAGGTCAGCTGGACACCGGCTGGCACCCACACATCGCATGACCTTGTTAGTACGAACACCCTTTCACCTCTGTCTCTCATCATCACCGGTTCGAGCGCATTTAGCATATTCGGTCTTCGGCTACGGTAGATGAGATTCGAAGAAGTTGAATGGGAAGCTGTGTCAGCTCGTTATTCGTCAACGCCTGATGCCGCGCGCCTTTGATCGGCGTGAGTCGGTAAATAGCAAGCGTAGAGGGGTTACGGTGGATTTGTGTTGTTGGCAATTAAACTAATTGACAAGACTGGAGAGAGAGGGGTAGTAACTTGATTCTTTCTCAATGTACGTGAGCTAGTAGATGAGTGAGGCCTTGTACGGTAGTAGATCGTGGCAAGACCGAGCAGTTTTACAGAATTTTTTAATAGCGTGATTGATTGTGATTTGACGGAATGTTCTCAGGGTGGGGGTGGTAAGGTGGTAATTATTTTGGTTCAAATCAGACAGGGACCTGTTTCGAAGTGATCAAAGGGTTCTTGGTTGCCGCTTTGTAAAAAAATACTGTAAAACTGCTCGGTCTTGTCAACGATCTTGGTATACTACGTGCCATCATTATCATCTAACGCAGACGCCCTCTTTAGATGATTCAAACGACGACGTTGAAGTCTTGGAATTTTTTGGAAGAGAAAGTGCAAGAGAACGGTGCAGAGCACACACCATTGAGTTATAATGGAAGAAGGCTCTGAGGCCTTTTGACTAGAAAAGATTTTGAGAGACGTTCTTTTTGCAGCGTATCTTAAAATTCGGTGCGTAGGCGATAAATCACACTGCTGAAGTTGAATTTCGGAATTTGAAACCAGATGGGGGTTCACCTACACCGGAGTTGAGGTGAAAGGGAGTGCTTGAAAGGGGGAATTTGACATCATGGATCTCTTTCTGTGATCAAAAAAAAAATAGAAAGTCAATCTTACCACTGTTGAAAGGAAGCAGTAACCGGAACCAGGGTAGAGCATTATCGTCTGCTAACCACTCAAAATTTTCGAGAACACAGCAATTCCAATTATGCGATCAAAGCGTCTTTTCGTGAAAAAAAAAATTTCATTTGGTCCGACTCTCGTAGACTTTTTGCACGATCGCTGCATATTAATGTCGAACTGTCAATATGTTTCCGGCGGAAAAAGTTCCGAGAAGGTGCATTTCCTGTCATCTCTGCGATAATATTTCGACGAGCAGCTTAAATTTTTGCCCTACTTTTTACTCTTTATAGTTTTGACTTGTTTTTGATGCTAACTGTCGTGGTGTTTTTAATCGCGGCTCGCCTTGCGAAAGTTTTACAAGAAGGCTGGGTTACAAATGAAACTTTCACTACGTCGTACATGCAAGGACTGATAAGCTTATGGTAACACGCCATAAGTGAGTTACGTTGAACGCGTGCTCCCGGTAGCGTAATTTTTAACGCAACTGCTGATAAGCGAGGGATGCGGGTTCCGGCCCCGCGTGGGGCGAAAGCTTTGTCCACAATTCAGCATACTTTTGAAGCTGTTTATAATGTTCTCTATATTTGCTTCACATATGGTGTTTTTAGGGACCATACTGCTTGCTTTTTTATGGCATTAAATGTCACAATGTGCTTGCTTCAGGGAAAGGATAGCATTTTTATGATGAGTGTGCCTGTTTTAATCACAGGTTTGTGCTATAGGCAATTTGCCAGTAGCATGAGTGCCACTAGCAATTCCCATCAGCAGAGTATCAGATTCTCCCATCTCGAGGACACAGCGGGACAACCCTTTCGTGAGCGATTAGATACTCACTACGGGGCTCACCTGTGTTATCTGATATCGATTTCATGGGCTTTTTGCGTGAGCAGAATCTATCTTCGACGGGATGGATTAAAAAGTTAATATTAAAGTATGCTCGCTCAATACGACTTCGAATTGCAATAGAGTTGCGAACTTTTGTTCAGAAAAAAACTCAAGAGATAGAATTTTTCAGGTCTTGGAGAAGTAGATTTTTGAGCATGTAAGTTTTTTAAAATAATAATATTTAGGTGTCTCGTACTGAAGTTGAACATTCAGATCATTATAAAGTTTCGGGTCAGCAACAGACTAAAAAAATTTTAAACTAATCAACTGACTGTGAAATTAGCAATTGAGTTAGAGTTGTCAGAAAACATGCGATAACTGGTAGACTAGAACTAATAATAAGAATTTAGAATCGGAAAAATTCGCAGAATAAGAGGTGGTTCGTTTCGCCTCTTATTCTCGAATTCTCAGACGAACCACTATTTATGACTAAAACAGTTATTTTTTAATCTAGTCGAGTTATAAAAGTTATATAACGTATAATGTATGCTATACGAAGTTATTACGCATGACGCCAGAGTGACTAGATACTTTTTCAAATGTTAGGGTTTCAAGGGAAAGAACTGCTGAACTGAAAGGAATAATTAGATAGAGATTAGAAATAGCGAAAATTTTAAGAAATCTAGTGTTCCGAATTTTTTTTCGCCATCTAGTTGCAGAGAACGAAGTTCACTTCTTTTTACAAAGTTCTCAGTTGTAAAAAGAAGTGAACTTTGTCCTCTGCAATAAGAAAGTGAGATATGAGAAATATTGATGACTTGATTTTCCAGCCACCTGAAGCATGTGTTGAACAGAATTGAGTGATTCTAGTCGAACTCTGTGATTCCATTTTGCTGGATTTCCATTGTGTGGAATTAGAAATGTTAACAAGGCAATGGATGAAGCACTCGCGCTTTTGTCCTTTTGTTGGGTTACTCCGTGTATTTGATTATCATCCAAGATCCTTACCTCCATTTTGATGAATTCTTATTGTCACACGTTTTCACCAGCATTTCGAAAATGGCTACTGTTGAAGAGTTGACGGCACTTTGTTGGCTGCCAATCCGCATGGGAGACCGTATGTTGATGTATAAGCATGATTTCTATTTCTGATTTTTGATGCATATTTCAATTGTGGGAAGTGAGTCGTGTTTGGGATTTTCAGAGGGATCATTTTGGTAAAAGCTGGGTGTCACGTTGCAGTGGAGGAAGACAGGCTGTCGCTTTTGATGAGTGGAGAGGGAGGTTTCGGTGCGAGAGCGAGCGTTGGTGTCGAATGCGTACCAGAAATAAACATTATGCAAACACAGCTATGATTGGTGATGCGAGAGATGGGTTATGTCGGGGGGGGGGAGGTCTTGGCAAGGGCCCTGTCGAGAACTTAGTAAATGTTTTTAGGCTAGTCGCTACAAGCGGGCCATTGATACCGGATTCCTTTAATGGAAAGCTGTCTTTTGCTGAAGAGCAATAGCGTCTCGTCGCCTATCACTTGAACCTGCGTCGAAGCGTTGCCGAATTTCTTAGTTCTCACTATTCAGCTAAAAGCTTGAATTTAGCAAATGTTTTCTTTCTTATATGTTTTTTGATAGGAAA